GCAACATACTAAGTGTATGAATGTTTCCAGTGCACAAGCAGTTGCATGCTTACGTTTTAGTTATGCCACCCACTGTGTTAAAAATGCTATCTGGTCTTCGTGGCACAACAGAACTAGATCAAGGAGATGTCTACAGAGTGAAAGAAACATGATGCTACATTGTCTCATAATTTTATTTTCAGTATCCTGATGTTAGTCACACTATATACACTGCAACATGACTACACCATGACAACACACACATTACAACACTACAAGATCACACATTCTTTCTTCGTTTGTGTTTATTTACTCATTACTTGATATTTAAAGACTTTCCATCAGCCTGAAAGATTGAATTTTCAATGGTCTTTGCAGTTAATGGGGTATGAATCATGATAGCAATGGTCAGTTCATTTTCTTGTCTCTCAAACACGGAGAAAGTAAGAAAGAAACTTCAAGGGGAAGAACTGCAGAAAAGATTATTAGTGCATTTCCAAACATATGGAAACAAGAACATATGGAAATAAGAATTTCAGTATAGAAAAGAACAGTGTAAAACGCAATAGAAAATATACCTGTTATTGATTGATAATTAGTCTTGGAGAAATACTGGATTTGTGAAAGTGAGATTTCTGACAGATAATGTAAATGTGGAACGATCATCTCAGCTCTAGCTAGTGGAGACATTTCCTGCCAATGGAAATTGAAGCATGTGTACTCAGCAGTAAAATGTGCCATAGAGAGATCTTAATATCAATAAAAATGCATGTTAAATTTAATTACCTCTATATGTTAATTGTATGGTATATAACTATATAAGTAAGAGCATGAAATGTCCTTGGTAAAAACTCTCTCACTGCAGATTATGAAATTATGAAAAAAATGCTTCTAGCATATTATTTTTAAATTTGTGTTGGAAGCACAAGCTTGTTGTGAAACCACTGTGCAAAAAATACCAATATGGCCACACCCCCACCCAAGCCCCCCACCCCAACATAGAAGCACACAGACTCATTATTGTGAATACTGACCCTGGAATGTACATTTAACAAGTGGAATAAACTGGCAGGGGAAAAGTTTGTGGAATAGGTGACATTTTTCACTCCTTCCCACTGATGCAATTTTCTTCAGCTGCAGGCCTGTTCAGTTCTGGCAGCATTTCAGTTGACCACTTACAAATATCCCCTGGGAACAGAAGTTTCATTTACAAACTTCAGCCAGAGACACAACCATACAAATCTGTATTGCATAGTTCTCTCAGTTATACATTGGATGAAATCCTCATTCCTAATAATTACTCAATTGTCTTCTACATTATTAATATTGATCGTGTATTTATTTATTTTAAAGCAAACATCAATGCAATTAATGTTTTAAAGCTTTGTTTCACAGTGAATAAAATTAGGCAAAATACTTTTATTTCCTTTCCGTATTAAGAAAGATTGAGCACAATATGTCGGTCAGTGGAACGCCACAGCCAATCACTCAGGTTTATAGTTTTGTGGGACTAATATAGTCTGTACACTTACTATAGTGAATAAATAACATGAACAATTTACTACAGTTCCCTATAGGATTATTTTAATTCTATATATTTCTGCAATGGACTGGCATCCCATCCAGGGTGTATCCTGCTTTGCACCGGGAAAGGCTTCATCTCCCATGTGACTCTGTATTGGATTAAGCAGTTAATTAGGCAGAATCTCAATTTAGTTATTTTTTAAAAAATATCAAATATATGTAATAAAAACAAAATCTTCTACTAAATTTCAGCCATATTGGTTTAAGATGACAAATAATCCTGTGTCATGCCAGAAAAAGTAGCCTTTAACACAAGGTGGGGAGCTGCGTCAGCATGCGTAGGCTGCAAATGAACACCTGAAGAAGGCTCCATGGCCGAAACATTGTGTTTTCTTTCTTCTCTTTTCAGCATGGAATAAACCTATTACTTGTTCCTTTGCAGCTTTTAACATGATGTGTATATACAGTAGGGAGGAACGTATTATTGTAATGATGAGGACCACCTGACAATGATGGATAAGCTACTGCAGCTCTTCATATTGGCTCCTCATGTAGAGTTTAACTTAAGCTGTTATGATCAAACATTCAAAGAGTTTCTTGTTAATATGAATTATAAATTCAATTAATTGATAATTTATAATTAATTACAAGTTGATTTCTTCACATTTAAATTAAGCTGTATTAATTAGTTGTTGGTAGTAATTATTTATAATAATAGACAACACTGCGTGGAGGCTTTGAGTAAGATGTTTATGCTCATAACCTATACTGTATCTCCTGATTGTATCTAAGATGCCGAAGACATTTGCACTGTTGTATTTAATCTTACAAATGTTGTGTCAGCTGCTGAAAATGAACCTGACATTACCAGTAGTTCAAACATACCAAAGCATCTCTGTCTGTTTTTCAAAGAGACCTTGATAAAAACCCCAATGGCTGAATTGCTGGTTCCTAAATCATTGCAATGAGTTTTGAGACAAAGAAAAAAATCATTTTATAAGTGATTGATTCCACATTATAATTTTAATTTTTAAAAAATCAGTGCTTTGTGTGGCGGGAAAACTGCAAAATGATAGGCCAACTGAAACGTAGTTATTGTATATATTTGAATCTGTAAAGATTTTTATTAATCTCTGTTTTGTTTTCTGTATTGTGTGACCCTGGAGCACTTACAGAAAACATAATCGTGTGTGTGTGTGTCTATCTTGTTTTGTTTTTTACACATTTAATTGCATGAAACTCCAAATTTGTTATAATTGTTAGTTTATTGTAATTTATTTATAATTGAGCCTATTTTACAGAATAATAATTTCAGAGTTGAGCTGCTGGATATGAAATAAAATCTTTTAAAATGTAGTTATAAAAACAATACTTAACAAATCATACAGTAATTGATGTAATAAATCCAATTAGAGATCTAGAAAATATAATCTGAATGTAGAAATGTGGGAAATCCCACAATGGAAGAAAGTTTTGTTCTAAAAGAGGAATGGCTTTCTTGCCTTTGCAGAAGCACTGTCAAGTTCAGTCAAAATCAAAATTTAATAACAATGTTAGATTGGTGTTTCACGTCACCACAACAGCTGTGTAACTTCTCTAAAGAATGTTGACTGCCGAAGCAAATTTAGACATTGATCTTCAAAAATACAACATAGAGTTGAGAATAGAGGAGTTCACTGCTATGTGTACATGTACATTGGAATTCTTATTCCCTCTGATCTCTCGGGACACACACAGTACAGCAGACAACACCACACAATGTAGACAGTACATTACAAACATAATAAATAGTAACAACAGGAACAATAAGTATGTTATTGGACAATAAATACATAGTGGTGAGAGCAAAATATAGTAGACCATGCAAAATGTACATAGCGCAGACATGCATTGAGTGTGACATAGTTAGCTGTTGAGGATGCGTATGCAGTAGGGTAGAAAACAAATGATAAAATGAGAAGTCATTGAAATTTTAACTTATTTTTCTCCTCACAAACCAGGGTAAAGGGCATAGATCCTTTACAGGGAATAGTTGGGAATGAATTGTCGTGTTATTAAGTTTGTTTCTTGTGGTTGCCCCTAAAGTTTAAAACTCACTATAGTATTTCACATAATACCATGATAAAAGGTTTGAATTGTAGAGCCAGACGTGCAGAAGTGTTTCTTATACTTATGCTTGTACACAGACCATGAGCATAGCAGTCATCCTAGACCTGCTCAGTTTAATGCACTGTAGTGGCTAGACGCTGCAGTGTCAGGCATTGCAATCCTTGTTAAGGGGAGCATTCTAAGACACCTCTCACTCCCTCTCCTCTTAAACCACACTGACAGACTACAAGTCCAGGAAAAGAGTTGTGTTAAGCCATCGTGCTGAGGAATAACTGGTACACAACCATGCAGAATGTAGTCCGCAAATTTGTGCCAAAAGATACAGTATATTCCATCTGAAACCTGGCTCAGTCAAACACATCCTGCTGGCTCAGCCACAACTCTGCTGAAGTTCAGCCATAAGACTTGGCAACAACTTTGCTGCACTCTATAAAGGGAGATATGGGTTTGGAGGTTTGGAACAGACACTGTGACATTGTGCTAGCCATCATGCCTACAGACAAACCTGAGTGCACAACACAGTTAATTCATGTGTACAGGAAACAGGAACACCCAGAGGATACACAGGGAGAACATGCAAACTCAATGCAGATGTGCAAGGCAGAAATACTAACCACTGGCCATTGTGACATCCACTAAACAAAAAAAAAAGTGGAGAGTGTGCTGTAATGTTTGCTGATTGCCAGCAGATGGCTCTCCAACTACTGTAACAGTCTAAGTGACAAGAAAAGCCTTTGGCTCAAAATTTGGTGGATTTGAGCTTGAATATATCTTCATACTACCGTGTAGTACATTGTAGCAATTATATTATTCAGTTTACATTTACAGGAGGTACAATTCTAGTTGCATAGTTCTCCTACTGACCTACAGATGTTTTTTTCATGTAACAATAATAATAATTCCTTACACTTATATAGTGCTTTTCAGGACACTCCACTCAGATCAGCACTTTACAGATAATGGGAACCTTATTTTATGTGTATTAAATATCAGATTCACTTTCATATAAATATCAAATGTGTAATACTACATAATTTATGCATTGTTCTTATTCTTGTTGTTATTTCTTACAGTTTTTTTTTTAATTATGAAGGTTCCATTCACTTTTTTCCTGCTTTAAATCACCTACAATCATAACAAAGTGAAGACATGGTAAAAATATTAATAGGATAACTAATCGCTAAATTACTAAAATTCAGTAATTAAAATGACTAAAATAAAGAACTAATTACTAAAATAACTTATGAGGTTTTGACAGTTTACCAAGTTTCTAAGCTACTACTGTTTGAATTTCTGTGCTCAGCTACAGAAGCAAAGGGCTGCTCTTAGTACTATGGATTTGGGGGTGCAGTGTCCGGTGCTGATGATGCTTTCTTCCTCTGTTTCAGTTCCATTTCACCGTTCAGTATTGAGGGCACACGACGCCCACGCAGGTCGGAATCCCCAGACTCCAAGAAGCGTCGCATTCATAGGTGTGACTTTGAGGGCTGCAATAAGGTGTACACAAAAAGCTCCCATTTGAAAGCACATCGGAGGACACACACAGGTGAGAAGCAGCGGGAAACCCTGCTGAATTACTGCATTTTGCAAAGTTCTATATCAAGTTCTGGACATGATCTTTTCTCTCTAGTGTATCTGCCATCACTCATAATGATCGACTGCATCATTACCCTTGACAGTGCAGTGACTTTGATGGGCAGGCATTGATGTTTAGATGCTCAGTGTGACATTGCAATTAATATCCGTGGCCCTTGTGTTCAGTACATGGCTGCAGAATGTCAACATTCACTTTGACAAAGGAGGAGGAAAAGAGATTTACTTGGAAAACATTTCACAGTACAGTAGCCATACTGTTCATACATGGGTAATGAAAACATCTAGTACCACCAGATTAGCCCTGTCAAATATGAATGTCATTCCATGAATGTAATATACTTAATATGATATACTCTGGGCAGCTTGGTGCCTTGCAGCTCTGGGGCCCTGGGTTCAGTTCTGGACCTGGGGTGCTGTCTGTGTGGAGCTTGTATATTCTCCCAGTGTTCATGTGGGTTTCCTCCCATGGTCCAAAGCTATACCGGTGAGTTAACTGACTTCTGGGGAAATTGGTCCTGTAGTGAATGTGTGCACGGTTGTGTCTCTGTGTCTGCCCTGCGATAAACTGGTGTTCAGTTCAAGCCTGCCATTACTACACTTGCTTGGGTACTTATCTGGCCTAAGGAAATATACAGAGAAATAGCACTTTAGAGTTTTTTTAATAAAATCAAATGGATCCAGTTACAGAAAAGGTTTATAATGAACTGAAAGGACAGATAAAAAAGGAATATCAGAAAACTGAAATTTATATTACAGTGGAAGCTAAAATACATTTAAAACGTTTTCAGTATTGCACCAATAGGATAGTAAAAGATTAAGCGAAGTGTGTCAGAGATGAACATATAAACTTTTTAAATGACAAAAGGATTAAATTGTCTTCTTTAACAAATTTGTTAAAAAAAAAATATTTGTCTAGGTGTTTACCACAAAAGAAATCAACAACATGCCCCAGGACTAGGAAAAACAGAAATAGTACTATATTAATGTTAATGTTAGCATACAAGAGGCGGAAGATATACAGGTCTCTTGGTCCAAAAGTCTTGTTTAAAGAAGCATGAGATGTGATTCATAAGTCAATAGCACAAGATGGATAATGCCTGTTTTTATTTACTTATATACTTGACTTATGAATAATATCTCATATGCTCTTCCAATACTTACTCAAGACAATAGTAATTTTGATTTATTATTAATTACGAGTGTAATGACTATCCATCAAAAGGGTGACAAAACCAGACAGTTTTTATTGACCTATATACTTCTTTTGCATGTGAGCATAAGGAAACAATTAAAATTAACCATCCTTTTTGAGGCAATAGAACTCAAGTGGATAGTTAACATGAATTTAGAAAAGGAGGTTCTTAAATAATTAGACTTTGAAAATGATGGATGTAAGCAGTTTATTTATGGGTTTTAGAGGACTTTTTAGAAATTTCCTCTTAAAAGATTAATTCTCAAATTGCAGCTGCATTTATGTAGATTAAGAACTGATTAATGGATTGAAAACAGAGAGTACAGATAGGTACAGAATGTACAAGAAATGTGCCTGTCTATAGTAACTTTCTAGTTATATTTCAAGCAATTATAGTTGCATAGGTATGAGTCATAATCCATAGAACACACTTTAACTTAATGACTCACATTATGAAATTGCTTATTGTTGCATGGAAACGCCCTTAAAATGTGACAATCCTCCTAAACAAATTATAGAAAAAGTCATTTAAATCCTCAAGTATCTATTTTATTCAGATTTTTTCATTAGCAAAAGCAAAAGCAAAAGCAAAAATGTAGTGTTCCTTTATTAACATTCATACTTTCTGTGATTCTTCACATTGAGCCTTGAGAATGTTCAAGAAAGTGGTAAAACTGAAAATTGGAACAGATCAATACTAATAATGATTGTACTCATACTGTACCTCTATTTTCTAAGTTACCCCTTAAGGATGCTCCATGTAATGTTTACATGAAGATGAAGAAACCAAATGTATTTCCAATAACTGGAACAAAAATACTTCTGTTTCTTGCACTACTTCTAAAATTATGTAGAGAAACTGATAAGATAGGAAATTAGGAAATCTAATCTTATGCAAGCATGCAAACAGATGCATGTGTTTTAATTAATGATTCAAACTGTTATCTTAATTTTAAACAGCTACAGTATTTAAGAGCAAGAATGTGTTTTCCTGAAAGATTGAACATATGGGAATATAATGGATCAGTAATAGAACTAAATACACCTCAGTGATAATTATGTTGACTTTATGGTTTGCACACTTGCACAATCATAACGGCAGAAGTTCAGTCATAGTAAACTGGGTGTGAAATCTGCTTTGTCACCCTCTTTCATATCAAAGGTCAGAAGCATTTACCCCAGCCTCCTCCCATTCTGAACATATGATGTTTAATGGCAAGATATGACTCAGACATTATGGAAGAGTTATTGGTTTACCTTGCTTAGTAACAGCAGTCCACCACTCCTCTTATTCTATGGAATTAAACAGAGGTGTAGGCCAGCTAAACTCATGCAGGAGACAGTTCAGTCCTGTGCCATTGGGATGCTGCAGTAAATTATTTTAATAACAAAGAGTCTGATGCCTCTTCTTAATAATATGTGCTTTGACTACATCTTTTAAGTAACAAAAATGAAAACAGTTTCTTGGGACTCAAATGCTTTTGGGCCATCTACGCTGAAGGCAGTGGTTCTGCCAAATTATCCTGAAAGTGATATGTTGTGATGGTTTTACCAGTCAGCTCCAGCATCTTTGTTTTACAGTCAAATTCTTCATTGCCACTGGAAGTACTAAAGAGTTTTACTTTACAATTATTTATTAAAGGTCTGCTCTCTTCTTAATCTAATTTGTTAATTAATTTTGCTAAAATAATTATAACTTATTGCCCTTGTCTATTTACTATTGTAGACTTTGATTAAAGCTTTAAAAAATCAGATGAGAATTACTGAATGAAAACATCTTGACTACATTTGTATAAATAAATATCAGTGTTGCAATTCTGGTTTTCTATTATGCTAAATGTGAAATGTTCTTTAAATTCTTTATGTATGTGTCACAGCATTACTGATATGCATTACAGGGCTCTTCCAAGCATCAGACATGCAGGTCTTGAACAGTCCCCTAAACATAAAAGAGTTGTTCTGGTTTATGTCAGTTGTGTCATTTATGTTTTTACTGTGAGACACTACCACACCTCATTCCATTAGCCCACACCTGCAAAATACAAGTTGACAAAGCACTCCAAGTCCTTGTACAAGAAGTACCATTCTTTGGCCTTAAAACTGCAATTATTAGGTGGTGGAAGCATCTTGTTAATAGGGCAAATGCAATATGAATACAAATGACAAGTCTTTTACTGATTTTTGTTAAACTTCTTCATTCTCACTAAGCTCTATATGTAATTTTATCTTTCTAAAGCCATTGGATGGGTGCAGTTATAAAAAAAATGCTAGTGGGAGTCATTCTTGTAAAAAATATTTTCAAGGAAAATAACTTTGATTAAGATTTAGTTTATGGATAAAGAGTACAGATAAAGTGTGAAGACTCCAGTTCAGGCAATGTAATTAGCAGAATGCCGCAGACATTTATTTTCTTACTGTATTCCAGTACTTTTGCTAATTTATTTCGATGATCAAGATTCAAGCATAGTTAGTAAAATAATCATGTTTCCAGGTTATACCACAAATGAAGGATTACCAATCACTGCAGAAGATGCAGAATGAATTCAAAAAGAATTAAACAGAAGACTGGGGCAATCTTCTGGAGGAAGGCAGGTGCCTTCAGGTGCAGAATGTTACATGCAAATAGCAAAAACGTAATGAGCTTATAGAAGCTGCCTATTAAAAACAACAGGGTGTTCATATAGATGCATCATATGAGAAGCAATAAAAAGACCGAATTTAAGAAATATATTAAAAAAACATAGAATTCAAATCAAGAGATGTTATGTTAAAATTGTACAGTCCATTAAGAAGATGTCATTTAAAATTTTGTGTAAATCGTATGGACTTCAGAATCAAAGGTAAAACATAAACCAGAGGACAAAAACTAGGGGGAAGTGCATTTAAAACTGAGAACAAGATGCATTTATGGATGCAGTAGGTTGAGAGAGTCAGGAACTGACTAGCCCGTTATCTTTTTGAAGCAAATACAATAGCTCCTGAAAACTAAAACGAGCAAGATGGGTCTAATGGCCTTCTCCTATTATTAAACATTATTGTGTTCTTATGTGTATCTTGACTTAAAATGAAGTGCATCAATTTAAATGTCTATAAAGCCTAATTCTTGACAACAATTTCTGAATGAATCTTAAAACATTTCAGCAGAAACATTTTAAGATTTAATCACTGTTTCTTTCCCTGTGTGTTTGCGTTGCTTCTGTGGTGTCTGTGATCTAGGTGAGAAGCCGTACAAGTGTACCTGGGAGGGCTGTACATGGAAGTTTGCGCGGTCCGACGAGCTCACACGACATTACCGCAAGCACACAGGGGTGAAGCCCTTCAAATGCGCGGACTGCGACCGCAGTTTTTCGCGTTCGGACCACCTGGCCCTACACCGCCGTCGACACATGCTGGTGTGAGCAGAAGGAGCCCCTCCACACAAACTATGTAAGAGCTGGGTCTCTTATAACAAAAATTCAGCTGGGCTGAGTCCTTCCCCGTAGTTCCTGCCCCACAGTGTTGAAAAGGACAAGAGGTTGTCTAGAAGGAAACAGATCGAGTCCCGGTACTGAGGAGGACCAGAAAATAATCAATGAAAGACTACAGCCCTGGAACCACCTTCCTTTTCTGTTTGGAGTTAAAGAAACTGTTTCTTTCAAGCACTGTTCAACGCCCTCTCTTTCTGATTTTAGTCCAAGGTATTTTCCTTTATTGGACAAAAAAAGTATTAACATTAACATCAACAAAACTATTCACTTTTTGTTTGTATTCAAAAGGCTGCTTTTCCGCGTCTATAATGTGAAACAACCGAACCCACCACCGAACACCCTGTTGTGACTTTAAGAGATGGGCCCTGTCCATCTGAGCTCCTACACAAATGGATTCAGCTGAGATGTCAAGCAATGTACTCAATGAACAGTATTTTCTATTGGGATTGTAGGATTCTCGAGCAAACGGTCAGTTCTCCAACACCCTGACTTGTTCTGGATGTCACAGGAAGTTGGACAGCAACATTTTCAATGGAAATAAGGAGAGGGACATGAAGGCCACGAGCAACAATGAGTAAAAATGAGACATGCATGTCTCCAAGATTTTGTTGCTGAGGGTGAGGGCAGATAAGTCAGAGTGAAAGCTAAATGTTAACACAGTGTTTCCACCTCCTGATCATTCATTCAAGAAAAAAATATTTAATTCTTTGTTTTGCTTTTAATGTGCATTCACAGAGCTGTAAAACTAATTCAATAGGAGGAAGTTGGAACGTATGGAGCTCAAAAGCCAAAGCTACCTGAAATTGTCCCCGCACATGTCAATGGATGCTTTCCTTAAAGGGCTACTGGGCAGTAAATTATAAGACCTCAGATATTAACATCAACCACGTTATTTCTACTATCCTCCACTAGTAAGTGTTAGGATCATGTGCTGTTTGTTTTACCCTAATCTGGACTGGACAATCCATAATGATTAAAAATGTCCAAATGATCAGCACTCGGAGAGACAGCACTTGAGTTGGTAATGGCTGGCTCTATGGTTTCCTACAATGTCACTCAGGAATCTGTGCCCAGCATTTTAACTCACAGCTTCCTCAAAACAATGTTTTCTTCCTCTCAGCACCTGCAGCACAATGGAAGAGTGTGACCTGCTTGCTCAATAGATTACTAAAAATACTAGACATAAAGTATCACTATTATTATTTATTTAAACTCGTACAGAACTTTAGCAATATTAAGAAAACTGAATGGTTCTTTTTCACATTTCAATGATTGTCATAGAGTGCTCAGTAGCCCTTTTTAATGGTAGGGTTAATAAAATGTATGTAATGCAGATTACGTTTCAATGAAATAAGTTTTTAAAAAGCACATGATAATTTAAATATGGCAAACCCTAACAATGTAAATAGGTTTTAGAGTTTAAAAGAAATTGGCAGACAACTAAGTCTATCCCCAGTGGTAATATATTACTACAAGCCTGTTTATTTAGTGATTTGTCATGGAGATAAAAATGTACCAGGTACATTTTATGCTGGTTTGCAATCACTAAGGTGCAATTTCAGTTATTAAATATATAAAATATACACAAATTGCTCACTTTTAATTTTCTTAATCTGCCTACAGTATACGGATAAGATATTTTATACAACACATCCCACATTAATAATAGCAATAAATTATATTTTATTGATATTTCAATTAATACGCAGTTATAATTATTTACCATTGAAAGACACTTTAAAGAATCTAATATTTCAATTATATGTGATAATTGTAGAAATGACTAAAATCCCAGAAAAGCTATATTTTCAATCAGCAGAGGGACTGGTGTTTTCCATTATTATGAAATTAAAAAGAGCAATACTTTCTTAAAATACAAAGTGATTCTGACCAGTTATCTGTTTGCCATCTTTAGTGATGTCAAGGGTATATTTCACATTCACATTCACAGCACCTTGGAACTGTATTTCTGTCAATGTCATTTATAATTTTCTATACTACAGAGCTTTCTATATTTTTAACAGATAATTGTAGCTGTGCCGGTGTTTAGAGTGACATAAAGCATATACACCTAATAGCTTTTACTGAAGCATTCTTCACATGTGAATTTTAAATGCATCCAAAAAATACATATCCACAAAAAATCAGCATTGCACACTCTGTTACGAATATGAAAGCCCTTTGGGTTTCTGGGTTTATTTTATTTCACCATGATATGTGTTTATTATACACTTTAAAGGGAATGCTGAAGTTTCCATGTAGCACTGGGATTGCTTACTATGGTGGAATGCAAGTGTCTGCTCTATCTAAAGAGCATTTGTAAGAATTTGAACCTTGCTTACAATCACTGCTTTTTTTTCTTCTTATAGCAGGCAGTGGAAATATATACAGTGTCTGATGTTCCTTGATCTCTTGAAGAAACTGCTCTGTATTTTTTAAACTTGAGGGAATTTCCATCAATACAATTGGATATGTATGTCCATTGTTTTGACACACAACATTTGATTCTATTTTTTTAATAACTTAACATTCAGTTGCCAAAATAAATGTTTCTTATGGTTTTTTTCACCTTTGTCCCTTCGATGTTTGAGGGCCCACTGTTCTAAAACCACGCTATAGGAATCTACTTTGTGTTTTTAGTTTTTTATGTGTTCTGATTATAATGCCGAGCACAAAAAGTCTCAAAACGTGATCCGTCTTGACTCACCACTTGACCTACTTCGTATATTATCATAGATTATGTGAATTATGTATGGTATGAGCACAGATTAGTGTTGTGAGTGCCCTTATAATGTGAAAGATTGTTTCCTCACCTACCCTGCTCAGTGTAGAAAAAAACAGTCACTAACAGGCTTGAATTATGGTTTGGTCAAAGATTAGGAGGTTATCCCAAGTGCAATATAATGTCTGTTACTAACCTAGCTTCACTTTTTACTTACCTCGCAGATCATGAGAATGTCCTTTGTTTGCTAAACATCAGACACAGATGCCAACAGCTTTATTTACTACAAACTGGCAAAGCCACATATTCTAACAACACATTATTATAAAGACTCCCCATAAAAGAGATGCATATATAAAATTAAGCTGAAACCTTCAAAACAGCTTTCATCTTACATCATGTTCTAAGAACATGCACCATTCACTTGAACGACACAAAGGGCATTCAAAAGGTTTTTTTTTAACTGAGGTTTATAGAAATTATTAAGCATTTTCTTAGCTCAGTATAATTTCACTTAATCTTGGTAAGTTTACACCTAGTAAATATGTCCTTCAGAGCAGTATTTTATAACTCTTTAAATTTCTCCTTTACCACTGGTTAACAGTGGACAAAGGCAGTGTTGTCTTAAATCCAAGCAGGCTTCAGAACATTTGTCCATTAGAACAATTGTGAGCTGTAGACTGGAAGGCCTAGCATGTGTGAGCATTTCGCCATACATGCACTCGTGACTTTAGGCCACTCGTTTCCACCATCGGAGGAACACTGTGTTTACAATTTCCAGAAGTTTAAATCCAGTCCACTCCTAGTTGATCTGCTTACTTAGTCTTTTATTTAATTTATTCAGTCAGAAATACCCTACTTCAAGAGTACTGTTTCCAACAACTTAACGCTTAACGCATAAAAAACTTAACGCTGCCTCTCCTCAACTTTCCTTACCATTATTTCAGCCGAAACAGCTCTCACTTGTTGATCACTTGATGATAAACAGACATGGGTGGGAAAGACACTGTACCAGAATTTCCCACAGTGAGCAGGTTTTCCTTCTCTAGAGGTGCAGTTGGTTACATTTCAGGCAGCACACCTGAATGAGCTCAGTTCTCAACCTTTGTAACTGTTACAGGGTTGATACCAATTATAAATCCTTTTAAGATTTGAGAACAATTTTACAAATATGTTACAAACAGAATACTGGTATCTAGTAGCCTGTGAATTTGGCAGGAGGAAAAGCTAGAAAACACAGCATTCCTTCCAGACCAGGTGTTATTCTATGTGGCATTTGGGAAATTAGCAACATCGCTTTGAATTACAGAAGATGCCAACCATAATCTTAGCGGATAATCTTACCACATATGATAAAACCTATTGAGAGCTCCAGCCGCTGACTCGTAAGTTGAGGTTTCTGGGTACCCATTTGGCAGAAACTTTTGACATACCAGCATGCTCCTTCCAAGAGAAATTCTGCACTCTTTTTTTCTACCACCTTGTTTTACTAAACTCATATTCACATGGTTTCTACTGATAGGATTGTTTCTGTGCTGGACATATGCAAGATTGACTAGACTTCAAGTCATCTTTAGACAATTTTCTACCATTCCCTTCCTGCCCACATGAAATACAAAGGACCATCTTCCTGTAACCTAGCAACAGTGCATCCCATCAATTAACTTTACTTTGCTTCATTGCCCAAACAAAACAGAAGAAGAGCATTATTCACCCACAGATGGTGATACAAATAGGCAATATTCACAGAGTCTTTAATAGTTGGCTTCTGCCCTATATAAAAATACCCCCTAGAAAAGAGTCCCAAGCGCTTGGGTATGGTCCCTCTGAAAGGAGAATAATTAAAGCCCAGTGCTGATGCAGCACACTTTTCAAAATGAGGCTAGTGAAATAACTCCTTACACTGTCTGCATGAAGACATGTAAATGTGTCCCAATGGGGTTAAGGATTAATGCTTTACTCATGAAATCGTTAAACTAAAAAAATAATTTCAAAATAAATGTACCTAATTAAAACAGAAATTGAAGATGCAGTGTCCCCTTTCAGGAGAAAAACTAATTAATAAAAAATAAGAATGAATGCACACATTATATAATCTTAACATTTCAGAAGGAAAACTCATTTTGTATACTACAAATTGTGTGTAAACTGACGTCAGTGTGAGTATTTTGGGGGAGGGGAGACCTTTTGTTATGCTTCTGAAATGTCATGCATAGTTATCATTTTTGTATACATGGGAATTGTAAAATTTTAAGAGTTACCTAGTTTGCTTACCTGTTCATTTTCTGTAGGCTTTGAACATATCTTTAATGCCTAGTTTGTTATAAAGTGTAATAAATACAAAATCATTTCAAAACAATGAATTAAATAAAGAATATTTGTTAAATTTAACATGGTAATGATAGGCAACATATTTTTTTCATAACATCAGAATTTATGTATTTTTCTGAAATGTGTTTAGTGAGGGGCACTTCATCTTTACATATTAATATTTTACTGTACATCAGGTGTTTAAAAATAATGTAATATATGTGACGGTGAAAAAGTATTTTAAAATGCATAGTTTTACATAGGCTGTAAATACTTTAAAAGTAAATTGGGGAGGTTTGTAATTTTAAAAAGAAATACCTTGAGTAATGTGCTTTTCTCCATAATTTAATATCACATCTAATCCTTTGCAGAAATCTGTATGGCTTAGTATTCCAGTCTTCATACTTATGATGCATAAACACCAAGTTGATAAAGTCAATAGTAAAAATGAAATATTTAACAACGATCTTTTTTGGATTTGTTAGAAAGTTATTGAGAGGCTACAATCAAGGTTTTGTTTCAGAAATAATTGATTTAAGATGAATAATAGAAAAGAATAATCAAAATAGATCAGATAAAATGATACTATATTAGAAGGAGATGAATGTAAATGCTTTATGTATAATTTGAATTTGGTATATCTGTTATCAAATAATGCACCTATTATTTTGGTGCATTAATTTTCTCTAGGCTTGAAATGGTATCCATGTAATTATGTTAATAGTAAGTTCAAACCTTAGTGCTCATCTTCTCCTGTTTTTCTTCTGAAAATCCTGCTGCAGTCTGCGTTTCTGCCAATTTTAAAAAATACATCAGTA